GCATCTCATCCTGTCTACCAGAAGCTACTCCAAAGAGGTTTTCTAGGCTATTGGGCCTTTGGTTCCATCTTGTTTGGTTAATTTTATGATGTTTTCATTAGTTGGAGACCTTTAATTTGTATACTTTTTCAATATTATTTATTATATATTACTTATATAACTGTTAGCAAATGTTCCTTAAGTTAAAAGCAAACATAGGTCTTTCCACCTATGAGCTTGAGACACAAGTAATATTCTCAGCATACCAGCAGATGCCCTCAAATATTACCTCTCAATGCTCTAGGCATGTAGATAATCTTGTGCTAATAATTAGTTGCAGTGACCTTGTTGGATTGTAGTAAGACTCTGATGTAGTATCTTGTTTCCAAGGTGGTCAGCCAAGAAACATACAGTTAGTCCTCGAGTTACAACAGTTTGTTTACTGACCGTTCAAAGTTACAGTGGCACTGAAAGAAATGACTTATGACCATTTTTCACAGCTATAACCATTGCAGCATCCCCACAGCCACATGATTTACATTTGGATGCCTGGCCACCGGTTCACATTTATGACTTGCTGTGTCCCAAGGTCATGTGATCACCTTTTGCACCCTTCTGAGAAGCAAAGTCAGTGGGGAAGAAAGACAAATTCACTTAACAACTGTGTTACTAATATAACAACTGCAGTGATTCACTTAACAAATGTGGCAAGAAAAGTCCTAAAATGGAACAAAACTCACTTAACAAATTTCTCAATTAGCAACATAAATTTTGGACTCAATTGTGGTCATAAGTCAAGGGCTACATGTACATGAATAGCTTAACTAAAAGATGAGTTGATGTGGTTTTTCTCATGCTTCTGGGTTTTAGATGCACTCTCACTTAGTAGCTGTATTTAATTGCCATGATTAAATTCCACAGAGTTGGAAATTAATTTGATGAATTTTTAAAACAATAATTGTATACAGGATTGGGGGGGTGTTGGATTCTGTGTTTGGTTGCATTCATTCTTCACAAAAATTGTTTCTCTTATTCAGGTACAACAAAAGGAAGTACCAGGACATAATTGCTGAGAAAGAGGCCCTCTCAGCAGGAAAGAAAAATCGGAAGAAGAAGAAATTTCACAAATAGATTTTGACAGCAAATGCTGGAACTTAGTTTTTAATGGTGAATTTATGAGTTGAAATTTTGCACAAATGGTCAGCTAAGATTGATCACATTAACAGCAAGAAGACAAGAAGGGGTATAGGGCTTTTTCCAATAAGATTTTGGAACTGAATGTGAAACCCTTTGTTACGTACCGATGAAAATACGCAGCAGAGAGGACGACGTTAAAATTTTTAGAAGAAACAATCTAGTTTAAAATCAAACTGTCCATTTAAAGTAAAATAGCAGTGAGTCTAACTTAAAAAAAATCATATAAGATTATATTTGAAATGTGGCTGCTGTAAAAGTATATCCTCTTTGTATATCTATTAAAATATTTTTTAAGAATTCATAAGCTTTCTTTAATATATACCATGTTTCTCTGAAAATAAGACCCAAACAGAAAATAAGTCCTAACGTGATTTTTCCAGATGCTCATAATACAAGCTCTACCCCAAAAATTAGTTCCAGTTAAGATCGTCAGCCCTCGGTGGGTGGGGGTGGCTAGCACAAGAGGCGCCGGGGCCGACAGTGTCAGCCAGCAGCTGCAGCCTAACAGCCCCTTAGCCAGCATACTCTGGGGCTGTGCAGATGAGTCCGAGCGCTGTGACCACTAGGCTGTCCATCCAAGCAGGAGGCAGGGGGGCAAGGTGGGGAGGGGAGTCCCAGCTGCGTCTTGAGGACGGGCTCTTCACCCTGTTCGCCAGGGCCATCACAGGTGGGGTGGAGCTGGAGGACAACGACGGGTGGCAGGGGCCAATAGTGCAGGTAGCGTGGCATGGTGCCACCCACACCCCGCCACCTTTGCCTCGCAACAGTAACAGGTGGAGGCAGAGGCATGGGAGTGGGGTGGGGTGGGGGGAGGTACTTGGAATACTGTTAAGTAAAAGTAAAAAGTTGAGGTTTGATGTTATTATCTTATTCTACTGCACCAAAGGGAATCAGAAGTAAATGCCTTTTCTTTGGTTTTCCCCTTTTTCCTACACTTTTTCCTTCCTCTTTCCCCTACCTCTTTTTTCTACTATTTTCTTTTGTATTTTTATATTTTATAACCTAATTTTAAAAAGGAATTAATGGAATTCAAGAGGGGTTGGACTTCCTCTCTTAATTCCACCTCCAGGCTCTACCTACTTTTCTATATTTCCTCCGAAATTCATTCAGCTTCCACCTTACTGGTATTTTGGAGGTTCTTCACCACGGCCATTGGAGAGAATGATTTACACCTCTTTATTCCTTTTTGTTCCTCTCTGAGTTTGTTTCCTTTGCCACGGCTCTTTTCTCTTGTGCTGCTTTTGTGTTTTCTGTATTCTTTGTTATTAAATACTTCTAGCAATTACAAAACACGCAGTCACAGAGTTGGGCAATATTATTACATCCCACAGCATGAAATCACAACCGCCAGTTCTTCAGCTGATGTTGGTCTTTATTCAGATCTAATTCTTTCCAAGAATCTAGGATGTTGTAAAATATCAATATGGGCAGATCAAAGCAGTGTGGCATTTTGCAATAGAGAAATGGAAATTTTTTTCAATGCACAGATTTTCTAAGAGTTGTCCAAGGCTTTTTTTGGCATGCCACTCAATGGGCCAATAACCACTGGGATCAGCACTTAAACAGATACACATAAGTATTTTATATACATATAATAAGTAAATTATATATGAATAAAGGTGAATATATGTGTCCAAGGATAATGTTGCAGGATCCAATCTGGTCGGTCACTGTGACAAGAGGTTTCATCTTCCTAGCTTTTGGACATGTTGGAGCCCATCTTCAGGGAACTTCTCTAAAGATAAGAAAAGGCTAGAGCGAAGTTTCTTGAAGATGAGTTTCAGCATGACTCCAAAAGCTCAAAAAACAAAACCTCTTGTTCTGGTGACCGACTCAGATTGGATCCTGAATAAAATATATAAACTAAAAATAATTACAAATAATATAAAGTAAAATACTGTATATTCTTCCACAACAGAAAAAATACTGCTTCTATCATGATTTTATTTTAAAATACTTTATTAACAAAAGTAGGATGTTTACATACGGCAATATGTGCCATAACTCTAGCATCTTCTTTAATAATCCATCTGAACCCACAATGGCCATCTTAGAACAGAGGGCACTTTGCTTGGTAGTGCGTTCATCTGGGAAGACACTCAGCCTTATTCATTTATTTGCAGTAATAAGTTATGCCCACCCGCATTCCTGATAATTAGTTATGAATGTAGATCTTCACTTCAGAACCCTGAGGGTCCAGCTCAGCAATATGGCTGAAGTATAGGTAGTCTTAATTTATAACAGTTCATCTAGAGATTTATTACTGTTTTTCACACTTATGACCATTGTAGCCTCACCATGGTCACATAATCAAAATTCAGACGCTTGGCAACTGGCTCATATTTATGACGGGTTGCAGTGTCCCTGGCTCACGTGATCAACTTTTGAGACTTTGGGACAAGCAAAGTCGACCAGAAATCCAGATTCACTTAACAGCCAGGTTACTAACTTAACAACTGCAGTGATTCACTTAACAACTGCAGTGATTCACTTAACAACTTTGGAAAGAAAGGTTAGGGTGAGGGTTAAAATGGGGCAAAGCTCACTTAACAAATACCTCGCTTAGCCACAGAAATTTTGGGTGCAATTGTGGTCATAAATCGAGGACGACCTGTGCTTTCTTACCCAGCATGAGGAGTCTTAAGCTGTCATCATAATACAATGTCGATCCCCTTTTTATGACCTTGTAATGTAGTCTCTATTCTGGGCGATTGGAAACTATTGTGAAATAAACGTCATTGCCTTTCAATTAAACATCAAATTCTGTGTCAGGCTTAACAGCCAAATAAACCTCAAGAGAAATGGTCAAATCTTGTAAAAATGTTGAATGATGGGTGTAAAATATTTGATGAAGGCTTGGTGCCTCAATAGCTCAGGCACAGGGCTAATTGCGATGCGTATTTCAGAGCGGGATCGGAATTAATTGCTGCACCGATGCTAGAATTCGGCTTTACTGAAAGCCTTCAGGAAGGCAACGCTGTTGCTGCCTGCCTTGTTACTACCCATGAGCGGCTGGACTAGCGCCACTCTTCCCAGACCACGTTCTTGTTAAGAGACTTCAACTCCCATAATGCCTTCAGGGTCCTTGCCAGCTAGGAATTCTGGGAGTTGAAGTCCACGCCTCTTCAAAGTGGCTGAGGTTGAGAAGCGCCGCTCTCGCTCTCCCGGGTCTCCACCTCGGAGGCCCTGAGGAAACCCGGTCCGTCAATCACGGGCGTCCTTCCCGCCTAGACCCGCCCCTCCGACATTTCCCCGCCCCTCAGGCCAGACAGCCTCCCTGCCGAGTCACCAGGCGGCGCGCGCCGAGGGAAAGAGAGCGCGGCCTTGCAAAGGGGAGGGAGGGGGGGAGAGGGGGAGGTTCCACGTCGTGCTTTGCAAGCAATTAAAAATCGGCCGCTTATCGGCGACTCGGCAAATAATTGACTCTGGATTCTGATCATCCAGGAAGCACTTTTAAAAATAAGAGGAAGGTAAATAAAATTGGGGTTCCCGACTCCGCCGGGACTCGAACCCGGAACCTTTGAATGTCTTCAACCTCTAGAAGTCCAATGCGCTATCCATTGCGCCACGGAGCCACCTGTTGGATTCTTGGCACATTTGCTATACAACTTCAGTGATCGACTTTCGCCCCGGTTCAGGAGCAGAAGAGATTTCTTCAAAGATCTTATTTTAGAGTTGCCAGCGCTGCTTTTTAAAGGTTTCCGACTCGCTTCCGGCAAAAGCTGCTTATTCCCGCCCTTGTTCAGCTCTTTCTTTCATTTCTCAGCCTCTTTAATTCGAATGGCGTTTCCCAAGCCTGCTTGCCATCTTTTAAAGAACCGAGGATTCTTTCCATAGTGGACGGGACAGAAATCTAGAGGTTGCATTTACACAAACGGGGCTTAGCACGTTCTGTGAACCTGCCCTGCAAGAAAAGGAGGGTGTAAATCCTGTGCATGTTCAGCTGGAGTAAGCAAGCACCGTTGCACTGGGAGGTAAAACTATAAAAAGAACCAGTGTCTTTATTAGACCGAGTTAAGATTTACAGATAGTTGCAAGGTTTTGAATTTCCAATAATTTTTCATATCTTAGCTGATTATTGCCATCAAGTCATTTTCGACTTCTAGTGACTACATAGATTTTCTCCATGTTGATCAGTCCCCAACCTGGTCCTTCATCTCTTCCAACAATGCCACTCATCATGCATTCATATCGCCATTGTCACCCAGTCCATCCATCTTGTTTCTGGTCATCCTCTTCTCTTTCTTTCCTCACCATGACAACCTTGTCGGGAACTGGGTCTTCCCATAATGTGTTTGAAATAGAATAATTTGAGCCTGGTTATTTGTGAGAACTCTGGATTGATTTGTTCGATGATCTGTCAGTTTGCTTTCTTGGCTGTCCACTGTATTCTCAGAAGTCTTCTCCAAAGTTCAAAGGAATCCATATCCCAAAGGTGTTTTTTTCAGGAGGCAATTGGATTTTTTTGTTTTTAGAATAGAATAACAGAGTTGGAAGGAACCTTGGAGGTCTTCTAGTCCAACCCCCTGCTTAGGCAGGAAACCCTACACCACTTCAGACAAATGGTTATCCAACATCTTCTTAAAAACTTCCAGTGTTGGAGCATTTACAACTTCTGGAGGCAAGTTGTTCCACTGATTAATTGTTCTGTCAGGAAATTTCTCCTTAGTTCTAAGTTGCTTCTCTCCTTGATTAGTTTCCACCCATTGCTTCTTGTCCTGCCCTCAGGTGCTTTGGAGAATAGCTTGACTCCTTCTTCTTTATGGTAGCCCCTGAGATATTGGAACAGTGCTATCATGTCTCCCCTAGTCCTTCTTTTCATTAAACTAGACATACCCAGTTCCTGCAAACCGTTCTTCATATGTTTTAGCTTCCAGTCCCCTAATCATATTTGTTGCTCTTCTCTGCACTCTTTCTAGAGTCTCCACATCTTTTTTACATCGTGGCGCCCAAAACTGAATGCTTTTCTTTGAAGACGTTTTGCTTCTCATCCAAGAAGCTTCTTTAGCTCTGACTGGATGGTGGGGAATGGAAGGGTTTATACTATTTGCAGACAGCTCATCATATGCATCCTTATAGAGGGTTGTTGAAGCACTTGGAGGTTTATCTGTGTCCTCGGGGTCACCTGAGCAGTGCTAATGGTTCCTGTAGTCAGCAACCCCTCTGGAAATCCGATCATACTCCAACACCAATTGAAGAGTGTTCATCCCAAATTGCATAGCTAAAAGTCTATAGAGATTCTCAGTCATCCAGGCCATAGTTGTTCCAAAGGTGCTTTTGGGACAACCATGACCTGGATGACTGAGAATCTCTACAGACTTAAAGGAATCAATACTTTTCCTATTCTGGTTCTTCATAGCCCAACTTTCACTTCCATAGAGTGAATCAGAATCCAGGGGGGGAAAGGAGGTTTCAAGACTGTCATAAATATTTTAGCTATGTCTCTATCACAGACAGTACAGATAGTCCTCGCTTAGCAACTGGCATTGGAACCAGCAACTCTGTCATTAAGCAAAGTTGTTGCTAAGTGAAACCACCACTGTATAAATGATCTTACTTCATTTTGCTTTACAGACTTGCAAAGGGTTTAAAATATGAGAATTGGTCTTAAAGTTACATTTTCATTACTAACCCAATTGTGAACCAGTTGTTCAATTAGGACTACCTATAATAAATACTTATTATAAACTTATATCTGAAATATAGTTCAGATTTATATAGACCAGTTACTGAGCTCAAAGCTAACAGAAGCAGGGGATTTAATTATTTTAAAGTCAGCTAAGGATCTTTAGCTGCATCTTCTATTCTCATGCATTACTTAATACAGTTTACTCTGGGTCACACAACCAATACTGAGTAAAGAATCTTCAAGTCTCCTTGATCTAAAAAAAACCCCTAAACAAATAAAAAACACTACACCAGAGATATAACTTTCATGTGGGTTTGTAGGATACTTCATTAACTAATGCTGTTCTTCCAGCCCAGGATGCTTATAAATATATCCCAGCACAAATTATCCAGATGGCTCCTGAACCAGTCAACCTTTCAGGTCTCATTATATGTATGGGGAAATAATCTTTTTTTGAAGTGATACATAAAGGGTAAAATATAAATGCATGTATAACTGCTGTCAAAAAGATCAAAAGTTGCTTCTTTATTTATTTTCCTCCTTTCCTTTCCTTTCCTTTCCTTTCCTTTCCTTTCCTTTCCTTTCCTTTCCTTTCCTCTCCTCTCATCTCCTCTCCTCTCCCCTCCCCTCCCCTCCCCTCTTCTCTTTCCTCTTTCCTTTCCTCTCCTCTCCTCTCCTTTCCTCTTTCCTTTCCTTTTTTCCCCTTTCCTTCTGTCCTTTCCTTTTTTCCTCCTTTCCTTCTGTCCTTTCCTTTTTTTCCCTTTCCTTTCCTTTCCCTATCCCTTTTTCTATTTTCTTTCTTATTCATTATTCTTTCCTATTTTCTTTCCGTTTTTTATTTTCTAATATTTGTATTGTTTTTATCTTGTGAAAAAAAATCTTTAATAAATTAATTTTAAAAATTAATACTTATGTCTGACCAGGAGATGGCATTGCTGCAGACGTAATAAAATTGCTCACAGGCTAAATCTTTCAGGAGTAATACAGCTACTCTATTAGATCTGTTCTAACCTGCCTATCTCAGTAAGGTTTTTCTCTCTCCTTACATTTCTTGTCACATTTCTTAGCATCTGCGCGAATGGCCTCCAGCCCCATTGTCTTTTCAAAAGAATTGCACACAATTGCTGATATTCTGCCTGAAGAGATGCCAAATTTCCTAGAAGAGGCACTGAAATTATCTTGCCGTGATTCCAAGCTGTCTAGCCTAATCAGGAAACCATAAACCAGACCTCACAATTTTTCATCAGTGCATTTTTTTTCCCAGCAGAGATAAGGGTACGTTTAGAGTGACCATTTGGCTACAGAAAGAACTTTATATTTTAATTGAAACCAGATATTTAGTCTACTGTCTCTTCAGGACATCGTTCACTTACAATATTTCTTATTGAAGAGGGCAGAACAATCCAGAATTTATAATAATAACAATAATTTTTACTTCATTAAGCAACAGAAATGGAGAGAGGGAAGAATTTTTTTAATGGACTGCTGTGTTTTTTCTTTAAATCACATTGGCAGCATGATATCTAATATTATGTACATGTATATGTTTATATGCACACACATACATGTGTGCACATTTAGAGTTGATAGCCTGGCTAAATACACATTAAATTAATCCTACAAATTCATTTCATATTACTGGGATGCAAGATCTAATATTGTCATCTGGTTAGTGAGATAACGTCTGTATGAGCGATCAATGACCATTTGTTTTTATATCTTGATTTTCTATAAATAGCACAGTATTCATCTTTTTCTTCCAGAAAAGCACATGATGTTTTTAGGAAAGAAATAAAATCCTTATTTCATATTACCAAAATGCATTATTTATATATACTCTACATATAAACATTATATTTGAAGGTGTTCAACCTACTTTATTTTTATTTTCCCACATTCATACATTTTTCTGTTCCCCCTTTCTCCTCATATTCTTGTGGAGACAAATAGGACATTTTAAATTCATTTGACGGGGGAAATACAGTAGCTTGGTTGGGTTCCTCCTTAATTCCTCTATGCCTATATAGAGTAGGGAAGGATAGAGAGGAATAGAATAGACAAGAATGTGGAATCATTGGAGTTGTCCCGTTTTGTGGCTGTTCCTTCCTTTCCCATCTCTATGACCCAACACTGGAAAAAGATAACATTAAGGTCAAACCCTTTACCAAATTTAGGTAAAACACAGGTCATTAAAGCCACAACAAACCAAAGATACAAAAATTTGTTTAAAAAATATCACATTTTACCATATTTAATAATCCATGATCTAGATTTGGATTAATGAATTAAATACATAACACGAGCTAGATTTAGATTTTGCCATCTAATCATTTAACAGACTGGACTATTTCAAAGGAGCTTGGGGATACAACTGACTATTAGTAGGTAATCCAGTGAAATTATTGAGATCCCCCAAAAAGGATGTAAGCATTTCTTTTTCCTCCCCATTTTTGAAAGCTCTCAAATATCCAAAATACGGTCAAAGTCAGTGCATTTGGGGAGCTTAAAAGGATGTGAATGTGAGCAGACTTATGCAAGGCAAATTGCTACCATCCTCCAAATCAACTCTTCCTAAATATATATCCACACACCCCTTGAAAATTGGCTCCCAATTATCCTGCTAAATTTTAGTGTACAATGTCTGGGTGTGGGATTGATGCAGGTTGGGTACTGCACATATGGGCTATGTATGTTGTCTAAACCACTGTTTTTACAATGACCTGCTTGAGAGCATCCAAAGATACCTAAATGCCTGCAGTTGGAAGCAAATTGTTAAAATAAGAATTTTTGTCCTATCTCAGCCTTTCTTAGAACTTTCCATGAATCACCTTCATTCACAACAAAAGCATCATTAGCAGTTAACTTCCATTCCAAGTTTCTCAGTTTGTCAGTTTGATCCTGGGAGATCCTTGCGTGTCTACTCAAATATAGGTCCCATGGAATTCAGTGGTGCTTATCCTCAGAGACCTGTGCATAGGATTGCAGCCCAGAAAGTATACATCCAAATGCTTCAAAGATACATTTCTACAAAGGAAAAACTGATGTTGCAACACTCCTTATAATTATAATCAGGCCTGATGTATTTTGACACCTATACAATGGTAGTTTATGTTGTCCAAAAAAAGGAAGCTAATAGCACTTTGATAAAGCAATACATTGAAAGGCCTTTTGCACTGCAGGTACAATTAAATCTGACCACCTGTTGTGGTATAAACATTTGGAGTATAAGCATACCTCCGATACCATCTTTCTTTTTGTTATTGCTGTTGTGAACAGATCATTTAATTACAGAAGTGTTGAAACTTTTGTATCCCTTTCACAAGTCAATAAAAATCGATTGCTTGC